ATTTTTTCGTAAAAATTAAATTTCTTTACCTCCTAGTTTGCAAATATGTCCGTCAATCGAGTTCGCTATATTTTTCCTGTAATCTGCATTTGAAACTGAAGATCTCTACCGAATTTCAGCTCACTAGGTTGAGATTTGTAAAAGTTAACCGCAGGAACAATGTCATTTTTTGTAATTTTTTCAAAAAAATTGAATTTCTTTCCCTCCTAGTTCGCAAATATGTCCGTCAATCGAGTTCGCTATATTTTTCCTGTAATCTACACTTAAAACTGAAGATCCCTACCGAATTTCAACTCATAAGGTTAAGATTTGTAAAAGTTAAGGGGGGGGACAGGGTCATTTTTTGCAATTTTTTCAAAAAAATTCAATTTTTTTCCCTTCTAGTTCCCAAATATCTCCACCAATCAGGTTCGCTGTATTTTTCCTGTAATCTACACTTGAAATTTAATATCCCTACTGAATTTTAGCTCATAATGTTGAGATTTGTAGAAGTTAAGGGGGGGGACAGGGTCATTTTTTGCAATTTTTTCGAAAAAATTCAATTTCTTTCCCTTCTAGTTCCCAAATATCTCCACCAATCAGGTTCGCTATATTTTTCCTGTAATCTGCACTAAAAACTGATGATTTCTACCGAATTTTAGCTCATAAGGTTGAGATTTGTAAAAGTTAAGGGGGGTGGGACAGGGTCATTTTTTGCAATTTTTTCAAAAAAATTCGATTTCTTTCCCTTCTAGTTCCCAAATATCTCCACCAATCAGGTTCGCTATATTTTTCCTGTAATCTGCACTTAAAACTGATGATCCCTACCGAATTTAAGCTCATCAAGTTAAGATTTGTAGAAGTTAAGGGGGGGGACAGGGTCATTTTTTGTAATTTTTTCTGAAAAATTCAATTTCTTTCCCTCCTAGTTCGCAAATATGTCCTTCAATTGGGTTCGCTATATTTTTCCTGTAATCTGCACTTAAAACTGAAAATCCTTACCGAATTTCAGCTCACCAGGTTGAGATTTGTAAAAATTAAGGAGGGGGGACAGGGTCATTTTTTGTAATTTTTTCTGAAAAATTCAATTTCTTTCCCTCCTAGTTCGCAAATATGTCCGCCAATTGGGTTCGCTATATTTTTCCTGTAATCTGCATTTAAAACTGAAGATCCCTACCGAATTTCAGCTCACTAGGTTGAGATTTGTAAAAGTTAAGGGGGGGGACAGCCCATTTTGCGTAGCTGGGACGGACACACGAGTGATTTCATAAGGGTTCCGTCAGTACACCTATGGTGTACGGAACCCTAAAAATAAGTTTTGTTTACTCCTGTATGTTAAAAAATAAAAAAGATTATTTTTGAACATATTTCAAAGCAAGAATGTCAGTAAAGTAAGGGAAATGTCAGGAAAAAATTTTGTCGGGGAAATTAAGAAAATTGTGACTTTTTTCGACTCATTTAAAATAATTGCGACAAAATACCACAATTTTTAGTAAAAAAAAAGTACAAGTTATTTTGATTTTTATAATGTGAAAAATAACTATAATCAGGGTGGCCGCTGGACCGGGAAAACCGGGAAATGTCAGTGAATTTTGAACTTGACCGGGATTTTTTATTTTTTTTTAAAAACACACATTATTTTGTGAGAAAAAATAAAAATATTTATTTCAAGACTTAGGTATTAACTATATTTCATTAAAAAAGATTGAACGATCTTCTATAAAATCTATTTATATTTTGTCAGAGAATTTTATAAAAAGTACTATAAAAATATTCAATTTCTAGAATTTATAAGAAAATTAAAAATTTTGCTGTCCAACGTAACAGATTTAGAAGAAGAAAATATTAAAGTTAATTTTAAATTCTTTCTATTTCTTACAATAATTAAACAAAATATAATTTTAATTAAACTTGTCAAAAAAATTTCAATGAGAAAAAATTTCACATCCTATAGAATAGTGAAAAATAAATCAATTTAAAAATTTTTTTGCAATAATATTATAACAAAACAAATAAAAATTATTAAAAATTTGAACTAATTAGAACAAAAGTGATACGAAATTTATAAAAATTAATTTTAGAATAGTAAATAATGTATATAAAAATAAATAAAATTTCTTTTTTTAGAGAATAAATTTTCAAAAAATCGTATTTTTCATTAATATCAATTAGTTTTTTTTGCAATTATTGATAAGCAAATTTTTCTATATTTTAGAATGTTAAATTAATAATTATTATAGATTGAATTTTAAAAAATTTCAAATTTAAGTTTTAGAAAAGTTGAATTTTAAAAGATTTTAATTAAAAATTCTGAATAAGTCAGTTTTTAAAAATATTTTTATTCACATTTTTTCAAATTAGTTATGTTTTTAAATATGTACCTAATATTTAATTGAAAATTTTTCAATTATTCAAAATTTCATGAAATTGTCTTGTAAACAAGTGGATTTTAGAAATATTTTAGTTATTTCTAGAATATAGTTGAATTGAAATTTTGAAAGTAATTGTTAATAAGTTACAGTAGCAATTCTTAAAAATTATTCAAATTTAAAGGATTTAAAATTTGAATTTTTTTTTAAATTTGAATACCTACTATATGGAAAAATAATGGATAATAATTAAATATTTATTTCAAAAAATCTATTTAAGTTCAAAATTATTTTTAGAGTAAACTAAAATATTTTTAGGTTTTAGGAAGAAGTCAAAGTTTTGTCTAAAAATCAGGAAATTCTTTCAATCTTTCATGGAATAATTTATTTTCAGAGTTATTATTTATGACCGGGAAAAATAATTTATGACCGGGAAATGACCGTGAATTTTTTTTTACAAAAAAATGGGCACCCTGTATAAACAAATCTTTTTGAATAGTTGAAATTTTGTAAAATTTAATTGAAAATAATTAATTTATTTTAAGTCTTTCGTTACAATTTTTGTAGAATAAAAAATCTTTAAAGGTAAATTTAAAAATGAATATTAATGAAAATTAGCTTCTAATTTTTTAAAATTCAATATTCTCAATTACATATTTTCAAAAATTCAAATATATACAAAAAAATAACATTTTAAAATTATTTTTAACATTTTAGAGGAAACAATCATGTTAAAAATTTTTAATTAAAATTTATCAATTAAATTCAAAAATAATTTTAAAATATAACAGAATTTTAGAAGAACTTTCGGAAAATTATTTAAATTAATTGATTCAAAGACGAAGGTTTAGTTGCCCAGTAAAAAAAGTATTGGAAGAGAGCGAATAGTATTGGCGGTGAGTTTCTGCCAATATGTTTTCGCGTGAAAACCGTATTGTCAGAAACTCACCGACAATACTATTCGCTCTCTTCCAATACTTTTTTTTTTACTGGGTAGAAATTGTACAAAATAATTGAATTCAGGAAGGGTTATAATTGTCATTTTAAAAAATAATTAAAATCATAAATTTTACTCATTTTCCGTAAACATTCATATTTTCCTGTAAAAAGAATTTTGTCAGGTAAATTAATTTTAATATCAGTAAATTGTCAGGGAAATTGATTAACTGAAACTTATGATCATTCTGGTTTAGCTTAAGATATCTTTTTTGGAAATATCTTTGATTATATGTCCACGTTGACATTTGCTTTAACACCCCCCCTCCCCTTCGTGGACAAACGTGGACTTTTGATTCACCCCCCCGCCCCCCCAAATGTGTCCACGTGGTTTATGGACGGCCCCTAGTGAAATGAGTGACTTTTAATTAGTGAATTTCTACTAAAACATTAGTAAAATTTTACTAAGAATTAATAATATTCTACTAATTGAAAAGGGCAAAAGTCGTCCATGAAAACTACTAAAAATTAGTCAAATTTTACTATTTCTTAGTAGTATTCTACTAATTCATGTAATAGTTGGCTACAATGAGCCCCATATAACCCTAGCTAGTAACTTTGTTAGTGCACCGTTGTACATACTGACTACGAGTGAACACAACCGTCATAGCGACACAACATCCATACGTTTATCAGACGTTTTTATATATATATGTATGTATTTTTAATATAATAAAGTTATTCAGTGTTAATTAAAGTTATTATTTTAGATAAAACACTACATAGCGCAGTCGGAAAAGTTTAATTGATTCAAATAACTTGAAACAGATACAGTCGACAAAATAAATACATAAAGTTGATATTACGTGTTTTGAAAAAGAAAACAAGCAAACAAAATGAAATCAACGAGTGTTATTTTTAAACCACCTAAAAGTTTAAGCCTTAAAGGAAATATTAGTGAAAATTGGCGAAAATTTAAACAAGCTCATGACATCTTTATGACAGCTTCCGGAAATTCATCTACAAATGAAGAGGTTAAAGTTGCAATGTTTTTAAATCTGGTTGGTGAAGAAGCACTTGAACTCTACAATACATTTACGTTAACAGAGGCACAAAAAAAGTAAGCAAAAATGTGATTGATGCATTTGAACAGTATTGTACGCCAAAGAAGAATGTAGTGTATGAACGTTACCTTTTTTACAATAGATCTCAAAAAGAAGGGGAACAGTTCGAACAATTTTTAACCGAAATAAAAATCATTGGGGTCGTCCATTTATCACGTGGACACTTTTGGGGGGAGGGGGGTTAAAAAAAGTTTGAAAATGTCCACGATCCCATGTATTTTTGTGTCCACAAGGGGGAGGGGGGGTCAAAAATCTTTGAAAAACTGTCCACGTGGTATATGGACGACCCCATTGCACGAAAATGTGACTTTGGAACTCTACATGACGAAATGATAAGAGACAGAATTGTGAAGGGTACAAATGATGCGGGTCTTCAGGAAAAACTTCTTCGAGTAGATGATTTAGACATGCAAAAGACTATAGATTATTGTCGAGCATCAGAAATCTTGAAGTTACAAGCCAAAATTTTTAATGAAAAAACAGTGGATAGTGTAAAAAAGAAAATAAGAGATTCTCACATCGCAGAGGATAATACAAGATCACAAGAAGAACGAAAAGATCCAACTGAGTTTAAATGTTGACGATGTACAAGATGGCATGGTCCTCGGCAGTGTCCAGCATTTGGGAAGGAGTGCAGTAAATGTAAGAAGAAAAATCACTTTGCAGCAGCGTGTCGAGTTCAAGGAGTTGCAGAAATATGCACAAGTGCATATTTATGTGTAGAAATGGTATGTACAGAGAAAAATAATAGTAATGTAAATACTTGGAATGAAATCATTAAGGTAGAAAATTCTAATGTTCGATTCAAATTAGACTCAGGCGCGCAAGTTAATATTTTACCAAATTACTATTTCAAAAAAGTAAATAAACAATTTGAAATAAAGCCGACGAATATTATATTAGAGACGTTTGAGGGATTTAAAATTAAGCCTCGTGGAATAGTGCGTTTAAAATGTAAAGTGAAAAACAGTGAAATATATGACGATTTTATAATAGTTGATAAAAATGTAACGCCAATTTTGGGATTGAAAGCTTGTGTTAAATTGAACTTAATCAAAAAAGTTGACTTAGTAGACAAGGTCTCGGGAAAAGAGGAATTCATAAAAAAAATAAGGATGTATTTGAAGGATTAGGCAGGTTTGAAGAAAAATGTACAATAGAAGTAGACTCAAGTTTTACACCAGTTGCTAAACCACCTAGAAGGATACCACTTAAAATTAAAGAGAAACTTAAAAATAAACTATTAGAGTTGTAAGAGAAAAAAATAATTTCTAAAGTTAAAAATCCTAAATGTTGGGTTAGCAATCTGGTCATTGTAGAAAAATCAGATGGATCACTGAGAATTTGCCTGAATCCAATAGATTTAAATAAAGCGATAAAACGAAAACCGAATGTACTTATACCAACTGTGGAAGAAATAAGTGAAAAACTTCGTAACAAAAGCATTTTTACTGTTTTAGATTTAAAGGACGGATTTTGGCACGTTGAATTGGATGAAAAATCGAGTGAACTATGCACATTTAGCACTATCTTTGGCAGCTGGAAATTTAACAGGCTACCCTTTGGAGTTAATATGGCACCAGAGTATTTCCAAGAAGTAAATGAAAAAAATTTTGGAGACATTGAGGGTGTTATTATATATTTTGTTGATATTTGTATTTCGGCAGAAACAGAAGAAGAGCATGATAAGATATTAGATCAGGTACTTGAAAGAGATAGAAAATTAGGGGTAAAATTTAATCAAAATAAAATTCAATATAAAGTTCTAGAAATTAAATACTTAGGCCATGTTTTCTCGAAGGGTGGTGTGCAAATTGATCAGGAGAGAATTAGAGCAATTGATGCTATTGAAAATCTAAAATCAAAGGCAGAAGTTCAAAAAATATTAGGAACAGTGAATTATGTCAGAAAATTTATACCGAATTTAAGTGAATTAACAGCTCCACTCCGAGAGTTGCTAAAGGATGGTGTTGAATTTCAGTGGTTTGAATCTCATTCTAAAGCCTTGCAAGAAATAAAAGCGGCCTTAAAAAATGCACCTGTTCTTGCAAATTTTAACGCGAATATTGAAATTTTCATCCAGTCTGATGCGTCAAAATCTAGTCTAGGTTGTTGTTTAATTCAAGATGAGAAACCCGTATATTTTTCGTCTAGAAGTTTAAGTGAAGCTGAAAAAAAAATTATGCAGTAATAGAAAAAGAACTCCTCGCTATTATATTCTCCACCGAAAACTTTCACCAATTTATTTACGGGCGTGAAATTACGGTATTAACTGATCACAAGCCTCTTGTAAATTTACTAAATGTAAAGAATATAGGAGATATACCATCTCCTCGTCTTCAGCGAATGAAAATTAAACTCCTCAAATACAAAATAATAGCAAAATATATTCCAGGTAAACTCATGCATATTGCAGACTTGCTATCGAGATCGTACTTAAAGGAATCGATTGATGAAAATAATTGGATTTCTGAAGTAGTGCATTCGATAAGTAGTAGTTTAAATATTTCAGAGGGAAAGAAAATAAAAATTCAAAAAGCCACAGAATCAGATCCAATTTTAAATCAAATAAAGCATTATTGTTTAGAGGGTTGGCCCAAAAGTAAATCTCAAGTAGAAGAGAATTTAAGATATTATTATTAATTTCAAAATGAGTTGAGTATTCAGGACAATATGATATTTTTTAATTATAAGTTATTTGTACCAAATTCATTACGCCAAAATATGTTGAAATTGTTTCATGAATCTCATTTAGGAATTGAAAAAACTAAATCTAGAGCAAGACAGTTACTCTATTGGCCAGGTCTTATGAGTGAAATTGAAAATATGATATCGAAATGCACTATTTGTGAAAGGTACAGATCTCTGAATAGTAAAGAGCCATTAATAGTGCATGACATACCTGATATTCCGTTTAACAAAATCGCATGTGATATTTGTGAATTTGCGGGAAAGAATTATCTTGTAATACAAGATTATTATTCGAAATGGTTAGAAATGTTAGAAATAAAGAACAAAACTGCTAGTGAAGTCATTATAAATCTCAAAACAGTATTTGCGACACATGGAATACCAAAAATTATAGTTTGCGATAATCAACCGTTCAGTTCTTATGAATTTAACATGTTTGCACAACAGTGGAATTTCGATATAACCACTAGTTCTCCATACTACCCGAGAAGTAACGGTCAAGCGGAGCGAGCTGTACAGGTAGCTAAAAAATTACTTAAAAAGTGTATTGATGATAACAAAGAATTGACAGTAGCATTATTAGAATATCGAAATACTCCCATAACAGGTCTTGTTGTATCCCCTGCACAAATAATTTTTAGCAGACGCACGCGAACAAAACTTCCAATACATTCAGAATTACTTAAGCCAAAAGTTGAGCCACAGGCTCATCAGCAGATCAAAAAGAGGCAGGAAATTTATAAACAATATCATGATAAAAATTGTAGAACAAAACGTGATCTAAATGTCGGTGATAATGCGGTCGTATATAACAAAAGAAATAAAAAATGGGAATCTGCAAAGATTTTAAAAAAACACATCAGTCCTAGATCTTATATTGTAGAAAATCAGAATGGTAATATAATACGTAGAAATTCAGTGCATTTAAAGAAATCTAATAACAATTTAAAAAAAAGACAAGAACATGATATAACAGATCAACTACTGCCAGGTAGAGATTTTAATAGAATCATAAATGTTGAAGATAGTCAAAACAGACTACCAAATAATAATAACGTAGCTGAACATAGAATAAATAGGGATGTAAATGATTTGCCTGCTGATGAACCTGAGGCCCAATTAAGAATTGAAAATAACGCTAATCAGAATATTGGAGTTACGAGAACTGGTCGCATAATTAAGGAACCAGTTAGATTTAAAGATTATTATAGATTTGAATTACAATAAGACTTTTAATGATTTGTAATAACCCCATAAAGGCAGGGTTTGGAAGTTACGCGTAACTTGAGAGTTTTTGACGTATATTACGTTTACGACGTAATATACGTCAAAAAGCGTAAAATATTCAGTATATTACGTTTCCAATAGGGCGAGCGCAATATATATGTATATATTTCAAATTTGAATTTAAAGGTTATACTTATAACTATAATCTGAACGGCGGCGAAACATCTTAAAATCAGAAAAATGTCGGGCAAAATAAAAATAACAAAAAGACACAAAAGAATTCCTTGGGATGAATTATGTTTTGAACCTGAAAGAGGAGAGCAAACTGGAGCAAAGTGTTTAATTTGCAACAGAGTTGTTAAAAATACTAGTTTAAAACGTCTTGAAGGTCACAGGTATGTAAATAACACTGGTTTACAGTGAAATTGTCAATCGAACAAAACAATTTTTTTTCGAATAGTAGGTGTTTCTTGAGTAAGAAAATCATAGTTTTAATTTTTTCCCTCGTGCAGTTTTTCTGTAGCTTTAAATTTTGCATTTTCGAGGTGCGACGCCACTTAAACTTACCTGTAGGAAAATTAGCTTGTCAAAATATAATAAATGAGCTATCATTGGAAAGGTTATTAAATTACCTTTCGATCCATAGGTCACAGAATAAAATTCAACAAAAATTGAGAGAGTTACAGTCGATTAAAGATGAAATTTCATGACAATTTTGATGATTTTTAGACATTTGAGTAACTTCTACTATTTTTTTCTACATCAAACAGGAAAGAATGTTTAGGTTTTAATTTTTTTATTGATAGACTATATCATTACACAAATTTTGAGCCCTTGTGGACCTCGATTGGATTAAAAATGACAATTCTACACTAAATTTAGTGAACGAAACTACATTCTTCATTTTTAGTATCCCTTAAACATTTGCAGCAAAAATTGAAGTAATAAAATTTAGTTAAGCTCTAAAGTTACTAAAATCACTAATAAAGGATTTCTGAAATTGTAGATTTCGAATCCAATGTTAGTTTTCTCAATTTCAAAATGACGGATCCAATATGGCGGACAAGTTTTTAAAAATCGATTAAATTCGTCTTAAATTCGTTACTCGGGGGTTTTCGGGGTCGCTGATTACAAATCTGATGTCGGATTTCGAAAATTGAAAAGGATGGATTCATAATGGTGGACGAGTTTTTTAAAATCCATCGAATTCGCACCTATTGGATCCGCCATTTTTAATTTTTGAAATCTGACATCAGATTCGTAATCAGCGACCCCGAAAACCCCCGAGTAACGAATTTAAGACGAATTTAATCGATTTTTAAAAACTTGTCCGCCATATTGGATCCGCCATTTTGAAATTTAGAAAACTAACATTGGATTCGAAATCTACGATTTCAGAAATCCTTTATTAGTGATTTTAGTAACTTTAGAGCTTAACTAAATTTTATTACTTCAATTTTTGCTGCAAATGTTTAAGGGATACTAAAAATGAAGAATGTAGTTTCGTTCACTAAATTTAGTGTAGAATTGTCATTTTTAATCCAATCGAGGTCCACAAGGGCTCAAAATTTGTGTAATGATATAGTCTATCAATAAAAAATTAAAACCTAAACATTCTTTCCTGTTTGATGTAGAAAAAAATAGTAGAAGTTACTCAAATGTCTAAAAATCATCAAAATTGTCATGAAATTTCATCTTTAATTGACTGTAACTCTCTCAATTTTTGTTGAATTTTATTCTGTGACCTATGGATCGAAAGGTAATTTAATAACCTTTCCAATGATAGCTCATTTATTATATTTTGACAAGCTAATTTTCCTACAGGTAAGTTTAAGTGGCGTCGCACCTCGAAAATGCAAAATTTAAAGCTACAGAAAAACTGCACGAGGGAAAAAATTAAAACTATGATTTTCTTACTCAAGAAACACCTACTATTCGAAAAAAAATTGTTTTGTTCGATTGGCAAGAAAAAGTTTTTAATTTGTAAACCTGTGTAAGGAATATTTTTACAATATTATATAAAACAGTATAGACTCCGTAATTTCAATATTAACGTATTAATTTTTTTCTAAGGATGTTGATTCATAACATAACCTTTAAAAACTTATTATTAAACTTGCATATTAAGCGATAAAATTATATCACGTTTTTTAAATTTAAATGTTGGTTTTATACAATTATACGTAAATCGCATTATTTTTCTGATAGTGTGTAATTTTACTATTAAAAATAATGAGAATAGTGTAGTTTTTGAGGTCTTTTTATTCATATTTTTCCTTATATTAATAACTATCTTTTAATGTAATTAGTAATATTTTATACTATACAAATGTAACGTTTTTAATAATCAATTATTGTTTTAGAAATGTCTGTCAAAAGAAGGGTGAAAAAAATGCGAACGATGCAGAAAATTTGCAGGCAAAACATTCATCTTCAAAGGTTGATGATTTACCTCAAATTGAGCCCCAGCCAACGTTGAGCACTAAATCATCGGAGACGACATCTGATACATTTGGGACCCAGTCATTCAAAACAAATTTAGAGAAAGAAGAAACATCATCTTCTAAATTGAAAAAACAATTTTTTGATAAATGTGATATGGACGAATCATTAGCTTTATTCTTTTTTGGATGCAATATCCCTTTCTCTGTAGTAGAATCAGCTCATTTTCTAAATTTTGTAAAACACTTGAATCCTTCTTATGTACCACCTTCTGCAAAGAAATTAGGACATTCATTACTAGATAAAGTTAATGAAAAAATTACGAATATTATATCAGCTAAAGTAGACAAAAAGAGTGTGCTCCTAATAGATGGATGGAAGAACAAAAGCAAAAACGAAAAATATGTTGTCGGTACCATTCATAATGCTAAAGGAGATAAATTTTTTTTAGATGCCTGGGATTTTACTGAAAAATCTGAGACTGGAGATACTCTAACAGACGTAGTAGAAAAGGCAGTTCATGAAGCAAGTAGGATCTACGGGACCGAAATTTATGCAGTCGTTTCCGATAATGTGTCCACTATGATGTATATGGGGAAAAAAGTTAATTTATTTCATTGCACCTGCAATAGCCACAGTGGGAATTTATTGGCAAAATCATTTGTTGATACTAATTTTAATGCTGATTTAAATTTGGTCCTAGTGGAATTTAAATCTCCAAATTTAGAAAGACAACTGATTTTGCTTAAGGGACAAAGAATTATTTTGCCAGGAGAAACAAGGTGGTGCAGCTACCGCGATGCAACTAGATGCTGTCTTCGAAATTTGACAAAAATGCAAGAAGTTGTAAGAAGAGGTGAACACAAAATTAATTCAAAAGTGGCTGAGTTAATTTTGGACCAATCTTTCGAAACTAAATTACTGTCTTCACTTATGATTTACGATGGAGTTTGTAAATTAATAAACAAGTGCCAAGCTGATCATTTCAATATAGCTGATGCTTTGGAAGAATGGCTGAAACTTCAGCTCCCAGTTGAAGATGAAGTTTTAGAACCTATTCTGCAAAAACGCCTTAAAAAAGTTATAACTCCCATCTGTTTAGCTGCAAATAAATTGCATCCAATTTACAAAGGCAAATTATTTTCTGAAAATGGAAATTATGTCCAAATGGCCTCAAATTTCTTAAGTCAAAATCTAGATGCCTCTGGTATAAATGATTTAGATACCTATAATAAAGAAGAAGGTATTTTTTACACTTTGAAAGAAAAAGGAATTGAACATCCAGAAACTTATTGGACTTTAGTAGAACCACATCACCCAAAATTAGCTGAGTTAGCAAAATTATTAATAAACATTCCAAGTTCTACAGCTGCAATAGAAAGACTCTTTTCGCAGTGGTCTTTCGTGCACAATAAACTCCGAAACCGTCTGAGTGTGGAAAAATCAAAAAAATTAATTAATATTTATTACACATTAAAATTAAATGATACAAATTTGTCTAATGATTATTAAATTGTTATGAATTAATTATTTCATTGCTCTTTGTGAACTTTGATTATTATTTTGAAAAATTCTTAATTATAATGGTAAAAAATTGTAAAATGAAATAAAATTTCTTATCGGTAAGCAAGTTTATTTATGGATTTGTAACAAATTACATTGTATATAATAAATTACATTTTACTTCTTAATCAGTCTTTTAATTAAAATATGTTCAGCTATCAGTTTAATTTAAATAAAAATCTTCTTAATCGCTATTATCATCTTAAACATGTTCTGAATTTCTCAAAACATTTTTTATATACATGTAACTTTTTTTAAAACAAATATAAAATTTTTTTAAACATAAAGACAATATTGAAAATAAGTTAAAGAAGCAGAAAATAAATATTTTTTTCTTAATCGCTATTATCATCTTAAACATGTTTTGAATTTCTCAAAACATTTTTTATATACATGTAATTTTTTTAAAACAAATATAAAATTTTGTTAAACAAAGACAATATTTAAAATAAGTTAAAGAAGCAGAAGATAATTTTTTTTCTTAGACGAATTTAAAAAGCGTTACTCTGTTTCGAGTCTTGAATCCTCAAATCGTAGTACAAACTAATAAGTTGATCCGTCTTTTTATCGGATAACTGCTTTTGTTCAACAAAATGACACGCAAAATCAATTCCCGCAGCTGGTATGTGCAATATTTTAATAGCAAACTCGGATAGTTCTGAACATTCTGGTTTTACTATATTCCAGAAGGTTTTCACTGAATTTACATTTTTTTCAAAAAGTTTACAAAAGATTCCTTTTCCTGCTTTGTATTTGGCTAGTTGATCAATACCATTTTTATCAACATTGTCTAATAAAAAGTCATAAACTTGAATAACCTGACTATCAGTTAGCTTTCGACCTCTATATTTTGGGTCTAAAAAATTGGCAGCCAGAGACACAGGTTGCATAATTTCATTACTCTCTTTATCAAGAAAAGCGAAAATTAAAATGCTTCTTGTATTTGACTGTAAGTCTATCCAACTTTCTACTGCATCTCCAATATAACAATTCTT